ACCAGTCCCTACTGCTGCAGTCCCAACCTGGCGGCACATTTTCCTCCACCCATTCCTCCTCCTTTGTCTCATTCTTCCCCCTATTTCTCCCCTTTTTCTCTCATTTCTCATGGGGCAAGTGTCCAACAGCTATTTTTTCTCTTTCTAGCTGTTGGGCCCCATCCAAGTTCTGATTTTGCAGCCGGCATGTAGCCGTTGTACCTCGGACTGCAGTAGCGGCACCCCCATGGTCCTAGGGGGCTCCGTTTTGGCTGTCGCCGCTTCCAGTTCGAGGCCCCCTTGCTCCGATTTTCTCCGGCCAACCATTTCCTCATGTGGGCCTTCGAAACTTTGTTTTTCTTGGCCTGGATGGTCCGGAATAACCTGGACTGCTGGCCGGGCCCCCTCACTGCCGGTACTTCCTCTTCTCTTTCCCCTTGACCCCCCCCCCCCCCCGCCGACGCTTGTCGCAGCGGTACTTAGTATTTTCGTCCGGGGCCGCCGGCCCGGACGGCGCCGCCCATCATATATTATTTTACTTCTTATTGTTGTTATACTTAGTCCAGGTTCCTCTTGGGTCCTCCCAGGTACCCTCCGTCTTTCCCGTGTCACGCCTGCCGCTCCTATTCCGTCGACAACTTTCTGTCGACGCCCGACTTCTCCCCATCCTCTTATTACCTTAGTCCATACTGTTTTTCCGGCGTCATCCCGGGTGACCACCCGTTTTTCGTCGGGACATCATGCGTCCCCGTCGTTCAGTTGCCAGTTATTCTGCCGACGGCTCCCGACGCTCGGTCCCGTTGGTGGCTTCCGACACTTTGCCCCACCGGCACCTGTCCCGCTGGCGGTTCCGCTGGTACCGCAATTTTGCCTAATCCCCCACGGTCCCCGTCACTAGTCCCGTGTCGGCACTATACTTCTGCCTGGTCCTATGTGGTCCCTGACACTTTGTCCCGCCGGCACCGCGTCTCCTCCTTGGTCTCACGTAGTTCCCGCCACTTTGTCCCGCCGGCCCCACACCGTCCCTCGGTCCCATGTGGTCCCCGACACTTTGTCCTGCCGGTACCGCATCGTCCCTCGGTCCCGTGTGGTCCCTGGCACCTTGTCCCGGCGGCACCACACCTTTTTGATGTTCCTGACGTCTTTTCGCCTCACTGCGGTCTCCTTCCCTTACTCCCTTCGCGTCCGCACACCGTTCTTCCCCGAACGCGGGTCCTAGCTTAACTTGCGGCCCCCTCGGCCCTCTTGCCGCTGCGTCCTAGTGGCTCATCTAGTCTGGCCACCTTTTTCCCGCGTCGGTGCCTTACGTCCTGCTTCTTTTCTCTCTTTGTCGCGCCCCTCCTATGCTACTATTATCTTCCCGGCGATCCTCCTCCGTTTTTGGGGGAAGGATTGCCTCCGCTATTTTCTTGCGGTCCTTTGCCGCTCCCTGTTCCGACAATTCCTTCTTGGTTCGATGGTCTCAGCGACTTCGGGCGGCCTGTAGCTCCTTAGTGTTGTCGCTCACGCCTTCGATTCCTCCAGCATTCCTGCCTCCGATTTTCTCTGTCGTGCACAAATTGGTCATATACAGTCTCTCGAGTGACGGGAAGCTATTCGGGACTCACCAGTCCCGACATATTCCCCCCACTCATTCTCGATGTCCTCATCGCGCACCAGTCCATAGTCAGTGGGGATTTTGGAGTGATAGACAGGCGGAGAAGCGGAGTGGGGTGGGACGGGTAGTTAGCTTGCCAGGGTTCTCTTTGTCTTTTCCCATTCTTTTCTCGGGTCTTTCTTTAAATTTCCGCCCCTTGGGGCGGGGGAGGGTATGGGGGAGTCAAGGTTTTTCTTCGGCTTCTCTTTTCTCCCACAGCTTAGACCAGGTTGCTCATTTCCATCATAGCTCTGCCTCTTTATCTTTCCCTCAATCGCGACACGACCTTCCTCTTCAGTCAACTCTGTATACCCCGCAGGGTAGCCCATAATTCTTTCGACTTCTGTAACATGAAGCAGACGAGACTCTCCTTGCTTCATGCACTTAACTACTAGCATGCTGGCTTTATTCCCAGGGTGACAATTTGTTGTCAAAACACAATTGGTTTTCTCATTATATGCCTTGGCATTGTTGATAACAAATTGTAGGCAAGTTTTCGGATGTGACTCAATGTCAGGCATTTGCTCCGAATGGGGGATGTTCGTCCAGTACAACCGCCACCCTTTGCTGTGATGATACCCACTTCGAATCGATGAACACAGGCACAACTTCTCCTAAGTGTTTCCTAATCTTAAATCTATCTTCCTATTTCATTGAGAAAACATTCTCGAGTTGACACCATCCTGGTTCATTCATTACTCTTAGGACATCTACACATTTTTAGCACAATTTTTCCTTTCCCGAAGCTCAATCATAGCCAAATCCACATGCATTTTTTTCGGGTCATTCTTCCCGGTTTTTCTCAGGTACTGCCAATTCCGCATGCATATCATCCTTTGTCCGTTCTTGCCCTTTGCTTAATTGCCTTTGCATGTGCAAGCTTGGCTCATTCCTTGTACATTTATTTTCTGGACGCCTTGTCAGGCTTCCTTCTCAAGTCCATACAAGCCAATTACTCATCCATTTCCCATCCTGCCAGTCCTTTTTTTTTTTTTTTTTTTTTTTTTTAGGTCCATGCAAAGTCAATCATACCAATCTTTTATTCCCCAATCATCTTGCCGGCCTTTTTCTCAAGATCACATTTATCACTTGCTCAAGTCCTTTCTGCTCTGGACGTCCTGCCAGACCCCCTTTTCTCAGACCCATGCAAACTCAATCACAGGTTTCTTTCTTTCCTGGCGTCTTGCCAGACCCCCTTTTTTCGTGTCTTTGCAAAAACCAATTACAAGTCTTTTTCCATGCTTATTTATTGGTAGATGGCACACCTTCCCCCCACTCAAAACGTGAAGTCCCCATCGCGCGACTGGTTCTCACTCGGAGGTACGTAGACCTTTGGCCCGCCGACCGCAAGTCAAGGACACAAGCCCATCCGCTTCACAAAAGGAGGAGTGATCAGTCCCTCCCCGGCGGGCGACGCCTCATCCTTCTACCCGGTCCGACCTTTCTTCTCTTACGTGGCGAGCACCAATACCAAGGTCCCTCCTCGCGTCTGTCAGGCAGGTCCAATCCAAGCCTGTCAGGGCCTCGTCTAGCCATAAGAGTGTTCCTCGCTTATCGTTCCTCCCGAGTGGTGATTTTCTGAATTCCGGTCTCTTCCATTCAAGAGAGTTGGGGCTCTCAATTAGTCCGCGAGTGCAGTAACGAAGACCTCGCAATTAGTCCCAAAACGGTTGTAATGTTCCGGCAGGGCAGTGCCAATGCCCCGTGGTGGTGGCGGACTCCATCCGGTACCTCGCACAGCCTCTCCCCTTGGACAGTGCTGCCCAACTTAGCGCGGGCAGCCGTGGTCCGATCCAAACGGCCATGCCACCCCTCTATGACATGGCGTGTGGTTGGAGAGTAACAAAATAGACTGAGATGAGAATGACTCTCTCGCCCATTTGACTCTCTCGCCCTTTGACGTTTAGGCGTTCAGCAGGAGGCGCAGTTTGAACTCCCCGACTAGAGCTCATTGTCAGGGGTGGTTCCGGACGGCCGATCCAAGTGGTAGGTGCCTTAGTCCTTTAACCCTCATCCCCTCGAAGAGGAACAGGTCGCGCTGAGACCTTTCCCTCAAAGGGATAGAGGTCTTGGGGTCGCGGTGCATGCACCGGTATCCCCCTCTAGCTGAGGTCAAAGACTAGAAGAAAAGAGAAATTTCATTTCAATGTTCTTTCCAAGTCCATTCCAAGTTGCCTAGGGTCCCCTGTTTATGCAATGCATTTTCCAGTACTCAATCCAATTCCAATGCTCAGTCTCATTCCCATGCTCAACCTCAGTCCAGTGCTCATTCTCAGTCCAATGCTCAGTGCAATATCTCTTCCAAGGCTGAGTCCAATATTTTTTTCAAGGTCAGTTTTTCCAATGTCCTTTTTCCAAGGCTCAACTCTTCCCATATATTTTCCAAAGCTCAGCTCTTCCAATATCCAAAACTCAGCTCTTCCCAATGTCATGCATCTCAAGTAGCCATGCAAGGGGACCCCAATGTTAATTCCAGAGAATGACCCTTGTCAGGGACCATTCCGAACAACCTGGTTAGGGTCGTTCTTTCCAATTCCAAGTCGAACAGCCTGGTTAGGGTCATTCTTATCCATTGCAATCGGACAGCCTGGTTGGGACCATCCTTATCCATTTCAATTGGACAGCCTGGTTAGGGCCATCCTTGTCCATTTCAATCGGACAGCCTGGTTAGGGTCATCCTTGTCCATTGCAATGTTAGCGTCCGAGGGGGTGGGCCTCGAGGACACGGATCGTATCTCGTCTCGGGGGTTAGAAAGTGGCGATCTCTTCAAGTTTTGACGCATGGTTCTTCCTCTTTCTTTTATCATTTGTCATTCTTACATCCATCCATACACCCGACTTAGCGTTTAATGCTCGAGTTGAGGCTTGCGACCCCAAGCAGCACTAACTCGCCCGACCGTTCAACCATACAAAGAGTGCTTAACTTATTTCAATGTTTTCTCTCCCACTCTCCTGACTTCTCATATCCTTCCAATACTCTGGACTTGTCTGGGATAGGTTGGATTAGGCTCCTAGGGAAGAGGATGTCTCTTAACCCATAGGTCCCCTAACCTCTCACAAGGACTCGTGCAATGACTCATTCAATCATGGGTACATAATTCAAAAGCAAGTTTTCGCCATCCATTTTTCTTCCAATCCCCAATAGTTCACATGCCCTTGCCCGCCTTCAGAGTCAATCATTCCCAGTCCCTTTCTTACTACCCAAGAAGACTCATATTTCAAAAAAAAGGAGCGAGTCGTCGTACAAAGTAGCGCTGGTTACTATTCTTTACTAGCCTTCCCCAATCAAAGTAGTTACATCGCAGTCCTTCCAAAAAAAATGAAGAGACAAAGTTCGAATGCAAAGACAACATTACAGACTCGTCTCAACTAGATCCCTCTGTTTTCCCCTTGCCTTTCCCTTAGCCAACCCAGCCATCCACAGTTCTATCCTAAGTGCACAAAAAACTCTCGTGCCCTTCCCTAAAGTAGCAGCCACTCGTACAAAGTAGCACTGATTGCCCAGTCCTTAGTCATCTCGAGCTTAGAAAGTTATCCCATCTCAATCCATTCAAAAAGGAGCTCAAGTGCGAAGTTCAGAATGGCAGTTCCGACTGCCCAGGTACCATCCCTCCCCCAATTTCTAGTTAAGCCATTATGCCTACCACCCTTTTATTGTCCGGTTGCCCTGCGCCTAGCCTCCCCCCTTGCACGGTCCTCCATTTCTTGCTGCATTTGTCTCTTTATTGCCTGCAGTTGGAGGAGCGTTCCTTCCGAGAAGAAGGTTGTTGGGGATATGTCTTCTCCCCTGCTCAACTTTTCCTTCCCCTTCATTGCCCATTCATATCGCAGAATGGCAGCCCATTGATCGAACCAGTCGCTGAAGGTAGGTCCAAATTCTGCTATCCATTTGTCCTTTTCTTTCCTTGAATCCTCCTCTCTTCCTCGTTCTTCCCTTGTGGGTGTCGTCACCTCATCCTCTTCCTCCTCACTGCTGAGGTCTATGACCTCAATGGGCTCCTTCTCCTCCGACCTTTGCCTTTTCCCCGGGTTCCTCTCCTCCTCACTGCTGGTGTCGCTTTCAGAGGGGAGGACTATCGGTTCCCCTTCTCTCAGTGGCAACGGTTCTCCGATCCCTTGTTTTCTGCCCCCTCTATTCACAACCAGATTGTGATCAAACCCCACATACAATTTCCTTTTCCTGGAGCTCGATTCCCCAGCCTGCCTTGATGGTTGTTCCCCAGTAGGCCTGTTGATTGCATTGCTGTCGTTTCCGTTTCCAAACTCCATCTTGCTGTTTTCTCCTTGACTGGTCCTCTTCATGCATAACAGTTACCGCAACCCCTAATACACACACATTCTCTCTCACCACCATTAGCAGATTTGCAGACCTTCCCAGAACCCTTGTTTGCCCCCATGTAGTTGGTGGTCCCATCATCCCTTAGGCACATTGTTTCCCTCATAGGCTCCTCATGTAAACAGTCCCCAAAATTGCCCCACAAAAAGTTATAGTACATTGTCCCGGTACACGAATACCTCGTGTAGACAGTCCTCCAAATTGCCCCACAAAAACGATAGTACATTGTCCCATGTTCCCAGCCCCATTCAAAGTCAGCCCAGGCGGTCTCCCCACGTTCCACAGAATCAAGACATACAAACGAACAATCCCTGTGGTCATGATCACTTTCACAAGGAGGTGGTTCAGAATGATAGTCAGCTGCCTGCCTTTCAAGATGTCAATTCCTGAGTTTCCCCATCCTGAGCCTCTTGTAACCATTGTTCCACCGGATCCCTGCTAAAAAATCTGACCAGTCTGTGTCACGGAAATGACCCTCTTATGCTAGTACCATCAAGATCCTCAAGTTCGAACGTATTCAGTCCCACCCGCTTAGCGATCCTGTAGGGCCCTTTGAACCTCTTTCCCAGCTGCCCAGACCACGTGCTTTCTAGGGCCGAGTTCCTGACTAACACCTTTTCCCCCACCTGGAGTGATTCCTTCCGAATGTTCTTGACCTGGTCCCACCTTGCTTTGTCCCTCATTCGACTATCCATCACACAGTTAACTACTTCGTCCAACGCCTCATCATTTTTGGCGACCTGCTGGCAACGTGCAGTGATTAACTCTTCTGTAGTCAAGTGCGGATCGTCGTCTAGTCTGTTCCAGGGAGGGACCAGGGCCTCCACCGGAAAGTCAATCTCTCTTCCATACCAGAGTTCCACTGGGATGCAACCCGTGGTTCTCTTTGGTGTCACGTTCTCGGAAAAGACTGCCTGCCTAAGATACCGCGGCGAATTTCCCAAGTCGTCTACTGCCAACTTTGCGATTGTGTTCTTCAAGGTCCGGTGGCCCCTTTCTACTAGTGCATTTGCCTCAGGATGGTAGGGCTCAGTAATCTTGATTGGTACGCACAATATCTTAAGCCTGTTCAACACCTCCTGGTTAACGAATTCTGTCCCATTATCTGCTATAAACCTGCGCACGAAGGGGTGTCTTAGGTAGAAGTCTTCCACCCGATCGGCCACTGCTTTCCCTGTCTTCCTCTTGAGAGCTACGGCCTCTACGTAGCCACTGAGGTTGTCCCTTGCATCCAAGATGTATCGAAACCCATCCGTTGATACGGGCATAACCGCAAGATCGAGGTGAACAAGGTGCCCGGGTCCCAGTACCCGAGTGGGTCTAAGGGGTTCGTAAACTCGTGCGGAGCTCCTCTCTTGACATATCAGACACGTCTGACAATACGTTGCGACCATGCCTGTCATTCCTGGCCAGAAATACAGGGGCACGATCTTTGCAAGTGTCCCCTTTGACGACCGGTGACCTCCAGCTAGCCCATCATGCATTGCCTGAATTACGTCCAGCTGCCTAGACCTCCCACAAACGACACGCCTAGGCGTCATCCCTTCCTCTTTCTTGAACAGGTGACTATTTCTTAATACGTACTTCTCAGCTTCCTCCCTTGCCTTGGAGCTGACTTCCGTGGGTTGTTTGTTCCCTACAAGCAGCAGACCGATTTCTCTAAAGACGCCCTCATACATCTGTATGAGGAAGAACTCTTGTTCCTTCTGATCCGTATCCTGCTCCTCCCGGGTCTGGTTGGCTAGGTACTATCACTCCTTCTGCGCCCAGGTTTCGGCCGACGTCATCACGGCGTCCTATCCCCTTTCCACGGCCATTGCCATCAGTTCCTCTCTAGCCCCTACTTCTGCTCCCCACGAGTCCTTTTCCTTTTTGCGCCTGACTGTGGTGACTGGTCCTTCCCTGAGTTCTGCGACTACTGCAGGCGTGCCCTTTTCCAAGGTCTGAATCAGCAACTGACGTGTTGTAAGCATTGAGTCGGTCATTCCGTTATCCACAACAAGGGCCCCCCCGTCGTATTCTAGGAAGGCGTCAATTGGTTCCGCGTCCTCTACTCCCTCTGGCGTGATACATACCCTGCTTAGCCCATCTGCCCTGTTTCGAAGCCCCGCAATTCGCTCGACCTTATAGTTGAATTGCCATATGAAGCCTATCCATCTGCCGACGGTCGGATCTATAGGTTTGTAATTCTTTAGAGCCCCGGTGACGTTGGTGGGATCGGTCCTTAGGATAAATCGTCTTCCAAACAGGTATGCCTGGAAGGTCTTAAGGCAATGCAGGATCGCTAAGACCTCCTTCTTGAACTGTGAGTACCGTTGTTCTGCCGAATTCAGGGTCCTACTTTCAAATATGATTGGTCTTTCCTTGCCCTCCTCGCTTTTCTGTATCAATACCCCTCCTACTGTTATCGGTCCGCCATCTGTTTCTAAGACGAAGGGTCGTCCTACTTCGTCATTGAAGCAGGGTGCCGCTAAAGTAACCTGATTGGAAGACAGGCTATCTTTGAGGGTTTGGGTTGCCGCTTCCCTATCCTAAGTCCATTCCATAGTACCCCCTTCCCTGATCATTGTGCGGATAGGCTCAGCTATCTTTGCAAATCCTTTGATGAAGATTCTACAAAATCTAACCACGCCTAGGAAGGCTCGTACTTCCATTGTGGTGCGCAGAGGTGTTGGCCATTGAGAAATCTTATCCGTCTTTGCTGGGTCAGGTTTCCTTCCATAGGCCCCACAACGAAACCCTAGTATGGTTACTTCCGGGACGGCCAGGATGCTCTTGGGTCCGCATGTAGTAATCTTGTAAACTAGGAATCGTTGGAGCAAGTCCTTAATATCCTGCAAGTGGTCCCAAACAAACTTCCGTACGCCCAGTTGCACCTCCGCCTCGTCCTTGTACCTTGCGTCTTTTACGGGATTATCATCTATATAAGGTTCACACTTTTCCGGAAACATATCCCCTGCAACGGCGAGCATCCTCCTCTGCGCCTCTGCTACCGCATTTGTGAAGCTCATAGGGTCACTTGCATCTGCAACTGCCCTACGGGGGTATGCATTGCGGTATACGGTCTATCCCTCGCATCAAGTGGCAACTGGTCATATCCTGAGTACAGGTCTATCAGGGAGTAAATGCTCCGCCCGGCGTGAGATTCGGCAAGCAAGTCCGTCTGTGGGAGCGAGCCTGCATCCCTAATTGTTACCGCATTGAGCTTCTGCAAGTCCTGGATCCACCTGAGCGTTTTGTTGGGCTTCCGAAAAACGAACCATTTGTTCGCATAAGGGGATGCGGTGGGCTCAGCCACGAACGAATCTATCTTGACCCTAAGCAGGTCAGTGACTTCCGCTGCTATCCCAAACTCGTAGGCAGGCCCTTTATCATTCCAGCATTCATGCTCTACCGTGTGGATCCTAACCGGAGGAACTAGCTTTGCTTCCAACCGCCCTTTCTGGTGATCATTGAAAGCGAAAGCTAAATGGAACTCCTGACACGCCTTCCTAATCAACTGAGTTTCCTCCGCTGTTAGAAACCCTTCCACTTCTATTTTCATGGTATCTGCTACCTCATCTGGTATGCGATGCCCTTTCGTTGCCCGCCTCTCCCTTATAACCCGTAGGATCTCTTCTTCTTTTTCCATGGCCTCTTCCCTTGATGTTTCTACTAGGATCGAGACCGGCTTGGCCTTCTGCCCTACGGGTTTGTACTTTCGCACACTCCCTTCTGGGATCGTTCTCCTGAAAAATGAACGGTCGGGATTGGCCTTGCCACCTCCATGGCACGGGGTTGAAGACTGACAACCTTCCCACTGAGGTTGTAGCCTTTCTGAATTTCTTCTTCAAATCTTGCAAGTGTTGTCGGATCTACCCCAACTTTATGGTATCTAATAGCTTTGGTGAGTTGCAGCAAGTCAGGGATTTCAAGTACTACTTTTGTCGTTTCCTTCCGTCCCTCCTTTGGCTTGGGCAGACTAGCCCCAAGTTCAATCTCCGACTCCTTTTCTACGAGCATGACTCCTAGGACCTCGTCCTCCTGTCTCCTCTTCTTTAGAGGCAGACCCATTTTGATCCATTCCTTTTTGCTAAACGCTTCCTCAATCATAATTTCTACCCTTTCCCTCATGCCTTCCATCCGTGCGAATGCGCCTTTCCGTGCGCTTTCTTCAAACGTCGGCGACCAGGTTGCCAACTTACCCTTGGGAGGATCCCCTCCAGTTCCGAGGAGTCTGAGGAGTTCTCCTCGACCAGTCACCGGATCCTCTATATCTACCATATATGTGCCATCATGTAGGTGCATACCAATCATTTCTACATTGGTGCATCATGGTCTCCCAAGAATTATGTCATGGTCCATTTCTTCCATGACGGTCATCCGTTGGAAAGACCAGATGGATTCCCGAATTCCTGCCCTGATCGCGCATTTGGTGACATACCCAGTGAAGGGAACTTCTCCGCCCGCTCCCCTAATACTCCCTGCTATCTTCTTGTTCATTGTGCATCCCATGAAAAGGTTAACCGACCCTCCCTTTTTTCACCTCAATTTATAAGAAAACCATAAGGCCATCCCAAACAAACTTCACACCAATCTATAGAGTGCACTTCTTACTAACATATTATAAAAACAATACCAAAAAAAAAAAAAAAAAAAACATAAAATAGCAACTCAAAAGTGCATTTTCAGACAATTTTGCCAAAAAACAGCNAAAAAAAAAAAAAAAAAAAAACATAAAATAGCAACTCAAAAGTGCATTTTCAGACAATTTTGCCAAAAAACAGCTTCATCAAAATTTCAGGATTTTCAGGATGATTAACAACACAAATTCTAATAACCCAAATGACACCAAATTGGACAAACAGCAAGCTTGTCCTAAAACAAAAACAGGCAATTTTTTTTTTCTTCAAAAAAACATAAAATTTGACCTTGAAACCCTAAATTGAGGATCATTCATCGTTACCCAGGGCCGAAAAGTTGGGGTCCCTGTTAACCACTTGTGTGATTGTTGCGAAATCCCGTCGTATGAGGGTAATTTCTGCACTGTCATCCACTAATGCATCGGTGTGGTGAGTTCCGACCTGGACTTTAAGTTTTCCTACAGGCAGTGCGTGGAAGCTAAGTTTAGTGTCAGGCGGCACTCTCATGACTTCGCCACCTTCTCGGTCCGACATATTCAGTCGAATATCAGCAAAGGCTTTTTCCAAATCTTCTAGGCCCCCTGGAATACTTTGAAGGTTAGAGACTCCTTGCGGCGCCTCGGCCTCCTCGGGTCCTTGTTCCTGTGGTTCCGGAGCCTCCTCTACTTCTACACGTTTACGCGTCAATAGCTGTCTGAGGCCCTTGAGCAGTCTCGGGCTTGCCTGCAGCACGGTCTGGAAGGATATCGATACCATGGTGCCCAGGAGTTTGCTCAGAGTGTCATCTAATTCGGGCAGCGTCAGAATCGGGATCTGGTACCTGAACTTCTTCTTTGTCGCCGTGGCTTTATCTACCGGTTCCTCTTCCCTCATTTTTCCATAAACCTTCTCCTGTTCCCCGGCCTCGGCTTCTTCCAGATCTGCTCTAGCCCCCGCGGCTTTTTCCATTACTGTGTCTCCGATGAGCTTCTTTTCCTCGCCGGCCTGTCGGGTAGTAATATTTACCCTATCCTGCCCATTACCTTCCAGGATGAAGTTGACCTGGGGCCCGCGCCCCCTTGGTTGGTCCCAGACAAGCTCAGCTACCGGCTCTGCTTCTACGACAGCTATATCCAAATTATTCAGGAGGAGGATGACACGCTTTATTCCTCCTGGCGAATTCCAGTTTACGTGCTCTCCCTGAGGTCCGAGAATCTCACCTTTGAGGGACCTACTCCACCTCTGTCTAATGATGTCGTGGTTAAGTCTCGGATAGGTCCTCACGAAATGCCCGACCATTGTACAATATCTGCATTGTTCATTGGTCGGGTCCCTACTGGGGATACCCCGATTGGCTACGGTTGCCGGTATTACGGCCTCTTGGGGCGGGAGGGCGGGTCGGGACACCTGCACCTGCATCACTAATAGCGCGTTTTCCACTCTTTATATCTTATTGTCGACCCCATGCACCCGCGCGTGCAAGCTTTCTATCCCTTTCTTGACCTTATCTCCTGTTTTACCGGTCAGGTCTATGACCTCCCCTTCCTTAAGCAGGGCTAGCCTCTCGGTGACCACTGTCTTCTCTGCAAGATCTATTACCGTACTGAAATCCACATCCCTTGTGTATTCAAACTTGCTGGTCTGCTTGTATGCTGACAAAATCTTATCCTTATCAAACTCGGAGAACTGCCTGAGAAAGCATTTACTCATTATGCGGTCCGTGACCCCGGGAATTCGCAGAGCCACTAACGTAAACGCCCTTAGGAAATCATTGTAGGTCGCATAGTTTTTCCTCTGGACTGCTGCTAATTCGGCCTCTGTTGCCATTTTTTCTGCCTTCAGGTATTTCCTCATCATCTCGTTCCTGATTTCTTTCCAGGATCCACTGGAAGCGACGATGGTCATAATGTTCATTCCCAAGCTTAGCGACACGTGCTGACCTAGGTGATCCATCTTTTCCTCTTCCGTCCATTTCAGTAAGGCTGCTAGGTTCTCATAGTCTATTAGAAACTCCGTAATGTTTGCCCCATCGAACGTGAGTTTCTTCTTTGCATCTGCGAGATACCCCTGGTTCTTGTTTAGTGTCCGGGTGAGGGTGGCGACTATCCTTTTGAGACCACCTTCGGAGCTACCCGCTTCTCCAACAGCACTAGTCCCTTCCCCTTCCTTCCTTTCCCTCTGCTTCTCCCTGTCACCGGTTACAGCAAGGGTGAGAAGGGACTGCACTGAACCACCCGGACTGCAGCACACACACACATACACACATACACACATACACACCAGTTACAGCCAAATGACAAGGTTTGAGTACTCTATACTAGGGAAAAACATAGCGGCACATCATGGAACACCTCGCCACACACACATATACCAATTAC